ATCAATCTCACAGAGATTCACCTGCCTCTGCCTCCTGAGTACTGGCATAAAAAGTTTGCACTACCACACCTGGCTCCCTTGAACATATTTATAATTGCTATTTCGAAATCATCTTTTGCATCTGCTAGGTTGTTATTCTCAGGAAGCATTTGGATGGGAGTGCTAATTTATGTAGCAGACATATTATCTTGGTTATCCATGTTGACTGTGTTTTTTCGCTGGTACCCAGGCATTTGTACTTGTTTCATTGGTGCTGTTTATTGGGATGGGTAGGTAATCCTGTCTTTTTTGAGTGGTTATTTGTATCACTGTTTGGTGTTTCCCAAGTTTTCATATTATGATCTAGCTGAGTAGTGCTTTGGTGTTCAGTTTGGAGGTCCCTTTATGCTGATGTGCAAATGGGGTGTAAGAAGTGGTCTTAGTTATGCTAAGGATAACTTCAACCTTTCAGTTGAAGTTCCATTGTTGGCTCATCATGGTCTGGAACAGCAGGGTGGACTGAGTGGTTGCTAGGTGAACAGGTTTGGCTGACAGATGAAGCTGGAGAGCTCACAGGTCTTGGGGAGCAATGACACTTAGTAACCAAGGCAGGTCTGGAAAAACTGTTCTGGTAGAGGTGAGATGGCAAAGTTTCACCTCAGGGAGGCAGGGAAAGGAGACTTACCAATGTAAGTATGGGAAAGATCTCTGATCTTGGGGTCCATATGAATTCTAATAGTGTAGAGATGGTGGGCACAAGGATGTGTGGGAAGGGAAGATATCAGGACTGGAAAAGCCCCTAGAAGGGTCCAAGGGTCTAGGCAGGGCTGAGATCATGGAGTGCTGGGAGATCTAGGATAGGAGACTTAGAAAAGAGGACCTGGGAAAACTTGTAGATATGGAGGTCCACAATAGGCCTAATAAAAGCAGAAATGGCTGGCACAAGAAGATGTGGGAAGGAGAGGTTGCCAAGCCGGAGCTGGGAACACCCGCCAGGGTGTCCAAGGATCTAGGGAGAACTGAGATCAGGGAGCACAGGGAGGTGGGGGGAGGGAGACCCAGGACCACAGATCTGGGAAAGCTTTCAGATCTCAAGGTCCACAATGGTCCTTAAGAAGCAGAAATGGCCTGTAGAAAGGGCTTGTCATTTCTTGAATGATAATTAAATTTACATTCTTTAAAATATCTTCTTCAGCCTGGACAGATGGCTCAGTGATTCAGAAAACTAGTTGGTCTTGCAGAGGACCCAGGTTCAATTCCCAGCACCCACGTGGTGACTAACAACCATCCCTAACTCTAGTTCTAGGGGATCCAGTGCCTTCTTCTGACCTCCATGGATGTTGCATGACATGGGTGCACTTACACAAATGCAGGCAATATACTTATGCACATAAAATAAAAATAATAAATAAAATGTTTTAAAATATTTTCTTTTTTTTGTCTTTTTGAGTTTTAGCACAATGAATATGTCTCCTCCTAGAGAAATCACCTAATTTCCATTCCTTTACAGGTTTTTTTGACCCTTTTCTTATTAGCCATCTGATCTTTTGTTTATTGTTCTAAGAAATTGTATATCAGATAGATAAATAGATAGATGATAGATAGATAGATGATAGATAGATAGGTGATAGATAAATGATAGATAGAGAGATAGATATATGTTAGAGAGATACATGATTGATAGATGATAGATAGATAGATAGATAGATGATAGAGAGATAGATAGATAGATGATAGATAGATGATAGACAGATGATAGATAGATAGATAGATAATAGGTAGATAGCTGATAGATATACAGATAGATAGATAGATTATAGAAGATAGATAGATAGATGATAGATGGATAGATAGATAGATAAATAGATAGATAGGTAGATAGATAGATAGATAGATATAGATAGATAGATAGACAGATGATAGATAGATGGATAGATAGATGATAGATGGTTACTTCCAACTTCCTTGAAAACAATTTAAGGATGCTCAAGGCATGGGCCTTCTAGGGTTTGCTCTTGTACTAAATGCACATATGAAAGTGAATGAAACTCAGGAGATGTTTATTGAACAAGAATTATAACAGCAAACAAACACTGAGATTTTTAATTTAAAAAATCATTTTTTAAATCACTGAGATTTTTGTTGATATTTAAAAATCATTTTTTCAAAATGCCATTTTTTAAAAATTAGAAATGGGTATTGGCCAATGTTTTTACAAACAAGAAACAGTTACATGTCAAAGGTGAAACACTTGATGAGTATGGTCTGCAATGATCTTCAAGATGATGAGAAATTGTTTTGAAAGATGCCACTATGACTTTTCCTGTTGGAATGATAACTATTTAATATTTCTGGTGACATTATAAATGTTAGATCAAACTTGCACTTTTGAATCCAACTTGAAGATGGGATAGCTTTGTATTGGTTCAGGCTACTATCAAAGTGCTATACTTTATTAAAACCATTAATCTTAATTTGTACTTCACAGTTGCCTGTAAAATAAATCTTTTTTTTAATTTTTACAAAAGCTTTATTGAGAATTTCATACATGTATATAAAGTGCTTTGATCAAATCCATGCCCACTCCCTCCCCTCCAACATTCCCCCTTCTGAAGAAGTAACCCTAAAATCTTTTAAGGATTAGATACAAGCTCCCAAATACTTTTGACATTTTTGGCCTTGGAACAGAGTATGTTGATTACAGGCCCAAGGTTTTGACTTTTAGCCAAGAAACTGGCTACATTTCTTTTGGGTCTTTTTACCCTAACTGCCTAGCCAATTCCTACCTCCTATTCTTATCACGCCATCCTTCCCACTCTCTAAATTCTAACAGTATTAAATGAAGTGTATTTTATATTTTAAAGTTGCTAAATGAATGATTTTAATGCTTTAAAATAGAATCCCATGTTTATGTTTTGAAAATTTCATACATGTATATGAAAGAGGAATTTTAAGGTTTTCTACAAAACAGTTCCACAAGGGGAAGCTGCCAGCTTGCAGTTACGGTGGACTCTAATCATTCTGGTTTATTATTAAGTGCACAAATTCACAGAATGTGGGAGACTGAATTTCTGCCTCATCATCAGGATTTGTAGAGACCAGAGAGAAGACTCCATTAATACTCCAAACCTCACGCAGGGATGGCAAGAGAAGTTAAAGATCCTAGAGAAAACCCTATATCTATCATATCCCTAGACAAATGTAATTTTTTACTCTATGCTAAATATGGTTCCTTATATGTACAGACAAGTATACCTGCCACCACTCACGAAAGAAGATGCTTTTCACAACAGATGGAGACTATTAAAGAGTTCCCCAACTGATCAAACACAGAGAATAAGTGTGTGTGTGTGTGTGTGTGTGTGTGTTATGTGCAGCCCTAAGTAACACATCTACAATTGAACCTCTAAACATAGTAGGATGGGGGGGTGGAGAATGTTAATGCATCTCTCAACTCTCACCAACAAAGCTTCCTTATTCGACAGAGGGTGATGAACACAGAAGGCCACAACTGGGCAGCATGCAGCGAATAAGAGCCTGCAGAGCGTGTGTCCCTGGATAGGACTCCTATATTAAACCTTACCCATGCAGGACTATTTTGGAAGAGGGGGTGGAAAAATGGTAAGAGCCGGGGTTGGTTCATGAATATAAGGAAACAGAGACTGTCAGGCTACTGGAAGCTTTCTCATGTGAACTTGCAGCAGTGGTGGCATCGTGCGCAAGATCCGTGCTGACTCAATCAGACAAAGGCCCAGCATGGAGCAAGGGAAATGGGCAGCAGGCAGGCCTTAGCTTGGGAACTGTTGACTACTGCTGGGTGAGGGAGAGCAGATCTTCCTTAAGATCTTTAGATAGGCTGCCTAGACTCCAGTGGATAAACTTGCACCAAAGGACATCCGGGTACAAATGCTTGACCAGATAGGACTTATTGCATATGACAGAATGCATGAGGTCTGGTTGGGGGAAGGGGGATATGGGGAACATGGATGGGGGAGGGGGGTTTAAATTAAGAACTATTGTATGAAATGCACAAAAGCTCAATAAAAATATTGAATAAAAAGGAAGTTGTTTTACAGATACTGTCTCTTGCAAAAATAGAGTCTAGTGTCTTGATCGTTTCCTTGTACTACATCTCACCAGTATGGGTCTACCCACCATCTTCTTTCCCACCGTCATCTTTTCACTTTAGATGTCTGTTTGGCACATGATCCTTCCAGATATTGTTTAGTAAAGACCCTGAACATGTCTGCTCTAGGCACCATTCATTGAAATTTCAGTTGGTATATGTCGTCTGTGTTTATTCTGTTGTGTATTTTGTAAGATTTCATCATACGGGATACCACATTACTCCAACTCCCACAATAAGTACTCATGCATGCGTGTCTCTGTGGTGACTGTGATAAGAGCTAACATTAATTTATTCTGATGTAGTTTTTCACTTCAACCATACTACTTGTGTATATTAAAACCTTAATAAGAATTTCTTATATAAGGTCATAGATGTACTTAGTAGAAATATATTTCTGTCATTACTGGTCTTTAAACTTTAGATGCTCATCCATTCAAATTGATATTTCTGAGTTTTATGGTAGTCATTGAAGTTGCCCATCTTTCACTCCAGAACTAGGAAATATCAGTATGTTCTGGAAAAGTTTACTTATTTTGTATTTTCTCTCACATTTTGTTGCTTCCCCCAGGCCAAGATCAGCTCCTCCTTAATGTTGTATACTTTATGATCATGACACCAAATATCATCAGTCTGTGCATGCTGAGGTCTTTAACACTCTCACAGGAGTGTACATGGAAAGTAATGGCTCCTGTCAAAATTTCTGGGACTGAGTCTTGCTTGTGACTTAGGCTGGCCTTGAACACATGAGCTCAGAATACGCTCCTGTTTCGGTTTCTCAGTAGTTCTTTGGATTAAAGGAGCCCTCCTTGACCCAAAGCCAAAACCATTTGTCATTAGTCATTAGAGGAATAAATGAGGCCATAATTTAAAGGAAATTGTGCTGAGTCACAAAATGAACTTCTGGAAGGTGGCAATGGGAATTTTTTTCCTATCACAAAATGTAATTGGAATTCTGGGAAACTTCTCTCTTCTCTCCTATTATCTAGTCCTTTACTACAGAAAATGCATGTTAAAGTCCACAGATTTGATTCTCATGCACCTGCTGACAGTCAACTCCCTGATCATCCTCTCTAAAGGAGTGCAACACACAATGGCAGCTTTTGGGTTGAAGCAAGGCTTCAGTGATTTTTGGTGCAATCTTTGTTTGTACATTGAAAGAGTTTGCAGGAGCATGTCTGTTGCCTCCACCTGTCTCTTTAGTGTCTTCCAGGCCATCACCACCAGCCCCAGAGTTCTCTGTTGGAAGGATCATAAAGTCAGAGCTCCAAAGCACATTGGCCTCTCCATTTCCCTCTGCTGGGTCCTGTATGTGGTGGTAAATTTAATTTTCCCTGTGTATACATACACCAAAATGAATTACAAAAACGTGACAAGAAAAAGAGATTTTGGATACTGCTGTATTATTAGTCATAATGAAATCACTGTCTCACTCTATATAGCATTATTGGCATTTCCTGAAGTTTTGTTTTCTGTGCTCATGGTCTGGTGCAGCAGCTCCATGGTTGTCATTCTGTACAGGCACAAGCAGCGAGTTCAGCACATCTGCAGGGCTCATGATTCCACCAGAACCTCCCCTGAGGCCAGAGCCACCCAGAGCATCCTGGCCCTGGTGTCTACCTTTCTGGCTTTTTACAGCCTCTCCTCCATCTTACAAGGTTCCATTGCTCTTCTGTATAATCCTGATTGGTGGCTGGTGAGCATCACTAGCCTCGTTTCTCTATGATTTCCCTCTTTTGGACCCTTTGTTCTTGTGAATCGTGAGTCCATTGTGTCCAGACTCTGTTTCATCTGCATAAGGAATAAAAACATCTCGTAATATTTTCATAAGTATATAAAATGTCTTTTGTATGTTATCTAATTGTTTACTCACCCACCACCCGAAAAACATTCATATAGAAACTTACCCAGAAATACCTTGTTTTTCTAAGATTAATGAAAGTGAGTATGGGAATTTTCTCTGCTGGTGAAATTAGAAGACGACATAAGGTAACTTTCTGGGGTCTGGCCCATTATACACAGCTGATGTGTGAAGGAGCTGGAAACCAAGTTTTAAAAAATTCCTCTTCCTCTAGCTTCTTCCCTGTAATGCTATCCCATTTGCTAGGAACATTTCACAGACACCTTGGGAGTATTGCATTCTAAATGCAGAGAACTCGGAAACCATGGCTGCCATGTACGTCTGCTTCGAGAGGTCTTGCTCTAGCTCCAGCTGCTCCAGCCTGCACCGGTAACAGCAACCTTCTGCAATAACTTCACAAATACCCTCCATGCAACTTAGCGCTCCAGAGCTATTCATACCTGCCTGTTCTGAACTCTGTAGCAGCTGTCCTCAGCAACGACTGGGGAAAAAAAAAAACACCTCATCTACTCGTTGAGGGGGACATGGGCTTCTGATTGATTCTTATGCAAAAATTGTGATGGGTTTGACTGTAAGGTTTATGATTGGTAGAAATGAGAAGTGCACATACGGAAGGTGTAATTGGTGGACTTAGCATCTGAGTACAAGCATGCTGTGTTCTTTTCCTGGCTACATATGTAGACTTTTTACCACTCTCTTGTGGTTAATCCAGGAAGCTTTTCTCCCTTGTTTTATCCCTCTTTCCCTGGTCTTGTAACTACACTGTATTAAAGGTTCTCCCAAATGGTCTCTTTCTGCCTGTGGCCTTTGTTTCTTTACTTTTTTTATTTCTTTTTGGTTTGCTGTTTTATTAATTAAAATTAGTCTTAGACAAAATCATGCACTCTCTCAACACATATGGATCACTTTCACCCCAATCTTCCTACACTCAATCTATACCAACCTTTCCTACAACTCTGTCACACATTCATGATTTTTTTATTGTTTTGTGACTCGCTTAGATTAACCAGGGTTGTCTTTGTGATCATATATTTAGAGATATCTGTTGGAGTCTGGTTGGCTCATCAGTGAGTACATAAAGATAGAAATTCCCCTTCTCTAAGAGGCTATCAGTATCAATATGTCAGACTTGAAGGGTAGGGCACCATGACTTTCTCATCCTTCTTAAACTTGAACATAGAACAGGTCTTGTGTGAGTCAAGTGCAGGGAACTGCAGCTGAGTTAATAATTGTATCAAGTCCAGAGAATGTTCTTTATTAGCCCTTCACCCACCAAAACCCTAAGGTAAGTCCCTAAACTTGTGCAGCTGAAGACACACATGAGTTGTAGAATAAACAAGGAGAAACCCAGCTGGTACTGGCTTGAATGCTTCATCTCTGCTGGGTAGCTATTATAGGACTGTAAAGTGCTGTCCATGCCACCAGAAGAGAAAAGTTATCATCAACTTTGCCCACCTGTGAATCCTCAAGGTGAAACAACAATGGGCTTGGAAAGATGTGTGGGATCTTAAACACAACAAGGGTAGGTGACGGGCAGCGCCACAGGATTAGAAAGTGGAATGGCTTAAGGGAAATGTATTTTACTGGAGAGTTGGCTCAGTGGTTAGGAGCACTGACTGCTCTTGCTGAGGACCTGGATTCAATTCCCAGCATCCACATGGTGGCTATGAACCACCCTTAACTCCAGTTCCAGGGGAATACAGAGCCCTCTTCTGACCACCATGGTATTGCATGACACGGGTGCTCTCACATACATGCAGGCAATACACTCATACACATAAAATTAAACACTCATACACATAAAATAAAAATAATAAAATATTTTTAAAAAGAAAGTTAAATAAATTAATGATTCCTGTTCATGCTTTCTACACAACACTGCTTTTTTTATTTTTGAAGAAACTATTGAACCAAGTAAAGGGTTTTTCTCATTGTATTTTGAATCGTGCAAATACTTTGCAATCACCCTCTCTTAGTGGCTGAATCTTATGACGAATTGGCATTTCCCTAATACAGACAGTGGAATTTCAGTGATCCTATCCACTCTCTTTTAAAAAATATTTCTTCTTCCGCAATGATCCGAGAGCCTTGGGAGGGAGATGTGTGAATCAGGCATCCTACGGATGAGCATTCTGCAGCCTCCCGTTCTCTGCACATTGGCAAACTGTGGGTTTCTGTGCATAAAGAAAATTCTCTGGTGAGAGTTAAGAGATGCATTCTTCCTAAGTGTAGAGGTTGCATCAAAAGAGTCAGAGGGGGTGGATAATCACAAGAAAACAAAGTCTTCCAGACAGCTGGTCATTTACTCATATGAACTCATAGCAATGATGACAGCATGCACACATCCTCTGCAAGTTCATATCAGAAAAAATCCCAGCATAGACATGAGAAAGTGGATAAGATATCCCAGCCCAACTTACAGAACTTTGGGCAATTGATGGCTGCTGGAAAGGGAGATATAGCGTTCCACAGGGATGGGACTCTTGGTGGAACCAGTGGATGGAACCACACTGAGAGGCATTTGGGGACACAAATCAGACTCAATAGACTGTAATATACACATAAGAGAAAACATTAAATTGGGTGGTGATCTAAGTACCAACAAACTATATTGTGAGAAAATTTCAAAAATTCAATAAGAACCTTTACATTTAAAGCTCATGGAACCTAGTAGAATGAGGGGGTAGAGCAAAAACTAACGCATCTCTCAACTCTCACCAGTGAAGCTTCCTTATACAACAGAGTGTGATGTACGCAGAAGGCCATAATTAGCAAAGTTTTAAAGAATAAGATACTGCACAGTGTATCCCTGGATAGGACTCTTATATCGAACCTCACCCACTCATGGCTCAGGGACCATTGCGGAAAAAGGGGAGGAAATATTGTAAGAGCCAGGGCTGGTTCATGAACACAGGGAAGCAGAGGCTTTCAGGCCACTGGAAGCTCGCACATGTGAACTTGTGGCAATGGTGGCATCGACACAGGACCCATGTCAACTCAATTGAACTGGGGCCCAGAGAGGAGGAACGATATAGGTGGTGGACTGGCCCTAGACTGAGAACTATTGGAGACTGATTGCTACTGGGAGAAGGAGAGTATGCCTTACTCATGATCTCTAGATGGACTGATTAGACTCCAATGGATCAATTTGCACTAAAGGACATCTAGGTACAAGTGCTTGACTGGATAGGACTTAACATGTATGGCGGAATACATGAGGTCCAGTGGGGGGATAGGGGACATGGAAGGGTGAAGAGGTCTAAATTTGATTAAGAACTGTTATATGAAATTACCAAAGCTCAATAAAATTTTCTAATTCAATAATAAAATAAAAATAAAGAAGAAATTTCTTTATAGTGCTAAACTTTGAGTGGGAATGGTTCATGTTTTTTTTTTCATGGCTTTTGGAAGCACAGTAAAAACAGCAGATAAAGACTGTAAACAGCATGCACAAGACCCATGCTGACTCAATCAGACAAAAATTCAGCACAGAACAAGGGAAACGGGCAGCAGGCCCCAACCCTAGTCCAGGAACTATTGGAAACTGGTTACTGCCAGGTGAAGGAAAATTGATATTCTGTAAAGGAGTGACACTAGATAGGCTCACTAGACTCCAGTGGATGAATTTGAATCTTGGCACAATCATATATGTCAGAACGCTTGAAACCTGGTTGAGGGGGCTATGAGGGTTGTGGATGGGGGAGGGGGGCTAAATTTGATTAGTGATGTTATATGAATTGCACAAAAACTCAATACAAATATTTTTAAATGACTTTATAGGCAGAAGGCACTCTGTGTGGACAGGAATGGCACTCTCAATTACCATAAGATTGAGAATAACTAACTCTCTGTTTATTCTCAGCAAATATGTATATTTTTGCTTCAGTTGTTCCGAAAGTACTATGCATCTATCCTGACATCTAGTATACTCAAGTATTTGCGTCTATGAAAGGGTTTCTCCTTCCCTTTTCTGTACTAAATGACAGAAAGATGCTTTTCGATTGCTTAACAAATGACTTCGAAATTTTATTCTAAGTGATCACACAGTGAAGAAAATAATAAATTTAGCAGTAAGAAAAGGCCATGTTGTATATAAATCTATTTATCCTTCAGTTCTTAACCTGCTCTTTCTAGCTCTCTATATGAATGATGAAAAATTTTAGATAATATTGCAAAATCCTAAATTTAGTAGCTGCTTCAAAGTTGATGTATATTCTGTAACTTAATTTTTTACTTTTACATCAATAGTTTCAAGGTATTTTTTAACCTTTTGTTTGTATTTGTTTTTTTCCACTTATACTAAAAACAAGGGCTTTGACTTTTCAATTTTCATTGTATGCAATCAGGTGACATCATACCTAGATCCCTCTGTAATACATATATTATCCATAAATATGAGTTTCAGAGCACTACATTAAATATATTTCAATATCAAAAACATGCATGGTGAGGGCATACTTTAATATTTTCAGTTTTAATATCATTAACTACAGCTATTGCCAAACAGTTGATGAGTCCTCCACTCAATGTTCAGTTGAAGGTTATTGTTGGGATGTATTGTGCAAACAGAAACAATGAATTTACTTAAATATTTTCCCACATTTTCAAAGTCTATGTTGTGCATACTGGGAATGTACCTGCATTAGATCTATATTATTGATTTTGCATAACTGTGAACAAAGTACCTGATAAAACAATTTTAAAAAACACTTATTTGGGCTTATTACTGAAGGATGCAGTTCAGTTTTGACTAATCTCATGTGACTGACCAGGATATCATCGCAGAGGGAACGTGCGGTAGAGGAATTTCTTTATCTCATGGACATCAGGAAACATTGATGAAGGAAAGCATTGGGGTCTACATA